TATTAAATTTACTTCATATGCTTTATTTTGCACAAGTATCAAATAACACAAAAATGTTAAAAAGACACTCACCTCACCGATTTCTCCGCTGTTGCCCGATGCCTCCTCGGCCTCCTCCTCCTCTCAGATTTCCTTGTTGCACTTACACAACACTCACTCGCGAAAATCATCGATCGCGCGAAATTTCGGCACTCCCGTACGCGATGTGAGATACCGCGAAACTCACGAAATATTGAAAAACGACAGAGCGAATTACAGCGCGAACGCCGAAATCACACACAAATTTCACGCACAAGTTTCTCTCTTTTCCCGAAAATCGAACGGATTACAAGAAATCGATAATTAAAGATAATTAAAAGCGCGGTGCGTAAATGTGATGTAACCGCGACAAAGTACCACGGTTCACATTCATATTTTAGATGAGTTAGTCTCGTGAAATATCTATGTATACGTTCATAAAGAGCCGTCGCCTCAACACGCAATTCGTTTCTCACTACAAGTTGTAGGAACTTAATAATCGAGGAACGTTACTCGTTACTGATAAAGGTGTACAAATCGATAGCGTTTTATCCCTAAATTCGTCGCGATCGAGTCTTGGAAACCGATAACGCAAAAATAATATCACGCACGGAGCGACTCTCGCCACTGCCTGCCGGCTCGACGTTCGGCGAGCGAATGATAATGCGGCGACCTTCACGTACACGATGGCACGCAAAAACATCATACGTCACCGCGCTGAGTGGAAAAACAACAAAAAAACGTTGAGAATTCGTTGGCCCGCTTAATCGTCGTACGATACTGCGCCGAGTGAAAAACAACAAAGAAACGTTGAGAATTCGTTGGCCTGCCTACGCAATGGAAAATTCCGTACTTAATATTTTATTGTACATTACTTTGTTCCGTGACTGTTGCTACGTTTTGCGTATTATTCCGCGGACTTATTGGTATTGATTAAATTAACGATTAATTCTGTTCAATCGAGAAAATGTTTCGAAACAAAAATCGTTGTTACTTAAATTCTAATTACTTAATTACTTTGTTAATAATGCAAATTGGTATTAAATACTTTATTGGAAATAGCATTGCGCGCGCTATTTGGTTTTAATTTATATTTATTCATGCTCTTCTTCGCCGTACAAAGCCAAACGAGAAAATCAGCATCGCGGAACAGCGTTAATAATTAAACGTCTTACATACCTTTTTAAAAAGAAGATTAGTTATCGTTGTATCTCATTAGAAGAATGAGAATTTCTTTTATTCTGCTTCACTCAATTAGATATTTAACTTTAACTTCATTTTCCTTAACTTTTTGTTTAGTCTCTAACTTTCTCTAAGTATATTTTTGCACAACTGTCAAAATTCACATGCGAGCTGAAACATGACACGAATTTAAAAGAGAAGTGAAGCACACCGCGCTTCGAGAAAACCAATCGGCATCGCGGAAAAGAGACCTCAACTGTTCGATATTAACGACATTCGCGCTGCTAACGTATATTTTTTAGAAAGGGAAAAAGTTTTGAAGAACGGGACTGAGGCGGATACAGTAGAGCCAAGAGATAGTAGGTAACCGAGAAACTCTAGATTACCATAAGCCTTGTGGCAGAGAAAACACTGAAGCGGGGAAGTACTGACCATATTTGACTAGTAAAATGTATGGTAAAATTTCAGAAAACTCTCATAAAATTCTTCAAAACTGTCATGATGTCTCACGAATACACGATTTTCAAGATGAATTTTGAAAGAAAATTTTCTCTGTATACATTGCGCGATAGTTGAATATTATACGTCCATCGAGTAATTCAAGCGTCTCCGAAGAGACACAAGAGCTTTCCCGTAAGAAGACCGCACGGGGCATTATTAATACCCGGAATCTAGCCACCGTAATAAAACCAAAAGGATGGCAAAAAAAGGTCGTGGACAGACTTTGTAGTTTTTTTTGCATCTCTTTAGTCTCGTGCCGTTAATTCCGACGGGGGACCATCTTGGCCGCAATGGCCTCGGCGGTATATAATGTAGTGGAAGGACTTGTCTAGCCATCACACTTTTACCCCAAATTAATTGCGACGAGTAAGTCTATTATCGTACACTCTGGGCTTTGTCATGTGTTGTGCTAATTTATGTCATACTGATAATGACTATAAATTTGTGTTCGCTCTGCTATTTTTTACTTGTTCAATAAAACTATAAAAATATGTTTAGGGCCAAAATTCACTATAAAATGTAGTGAGAATATATGTTATTCTAACCATTTTTTTTCTGGCAGTGTAACAAGCGCATTTTGATTCGAAAGGCATAAGTGGCTTAGTTTCATTGCTTGGACTCATTCAAATCACCTACGTTCATCTTTTTCAGAATCTAAAAAGTGAATTGTACCGTTTAAAATTTGATTCAAATCACTTTTCTTGGAACAAAGACTGCATCACTTTAGTAAATGGAAATACTCAGATGAAAATAAGACAGTAGTAATATGAAATAAACAGCATCACGTTGCCACCTGCAAAGTACGACATAATGAGAAATAGTATTTTGTTTCCAACTCTCGTAATTCAACTCGTAAAGAAATTATTGTAACGTCGTAATATCGTTCTTTCGTTTAGCTTAACCGCCGCGACAAGAATATTAATTTGAGAAAGAGTGGGAGGTGCACTTAAAACTATCATGTTACGCCGCAAAATTATTTTGCAACGTAACGGACCCACGTATGCATCGGTAATGGCATCGTGTCAGTAATTAGGCTCTCGTGTTCGTTAACGTGCAATCCGATTAATTTATCCGGTTTGCAAGACCCCGCGACAAAAATCGGCCGTCGACCGGTCCCTCTCGTAACAGCTGGCTCGTCGAGGAATCTTCCCTCCTGTTGCGAGCGTTTTGCGCGTCACGTTTCCGGCCGTGCGGATTTCTCGCACCTGTCTGAGGGAGCGCGGGCGTGCTCGGCGAGCTCTGAGAATTAATAACACGCGGAAATTACGCATCAGTTGCGTACCGATCCCGATAGGGTGTCATAATTGCGAGCACACGGACGGGAAGTGGCCTTATCTCGGCGAGTAAAGTTTACGAAATTTTCAGAAAGTTGCGGAGAACGACGTCTTCCCGAGTTCATAAGTCGATGAAGAATCTGGCGACTGTCATTATGAAATCACGTTGAGATCGTGTGCAAATCAACAATCAAGTTGATATTTAGAAGATTTCATTTCATTTAAAACAAGTAAAGTTTTGTACTAATTTTTACAAAATTGTACATTTTCATGAAATATTGTTTGCAATAATTTCTTGATTTGAGAACATTGTAATTTGTGATATTATTTCGTAGATATTGTTACAAAAAAATTAATGTTTCCACGAAGATATAAAAATAATTGGTCGACACTGATATCTTCTCTATATCTCTTGATAGATAAATTGATAGAGGAAAATACCTTATCATGAGACAGGCTCCTAATATGAGATAGCGGAGTTTCTAATAAATTAATAGGCATCATCTGTTGGCTCCACCATGCGTTTATTGCCCTGGAGTGAAATCTGTTTGGTGGAAAATTTATTGTTACATCGTGTGATCGTTGCGAAAAAAGATTTGCAATTGAATTTGGGCGTTGAAAGTCTACTATCTCATATTAGAGCCCTGTCCCATAATAGAGGACTTTCCTCTATGAATACATCTAATAGATGTCGACTACATGTCGACGGGATATCGACAAAGTATTATGCGGATCTTGTTACGAAATCAATGAGGGTTCTAGTCGTCATCGAATCAAACGGCCCGAAAAATCATGACCGATATCGATTTGATCGTCGACTTGTGAACCTGGGTTCTCCTGGAACTTAAATTAGAGCTAACTGTCGTTTCCTTTTCGTACGTGTTAGTTCTTGACATTAAATATGCCTCGCTGGATTAAGTGACGCACACATCGAGACTTCATACAGTTAAGATTCGCTGGAATATCAAATGGAGAACGCGAGCATTTATTTTCTATTTGCACCTGCGAGCAGAGTCCTTGGGCAGTTACTGGTTGCACCAGTGGCAATCAATTACTTCACGCCTTTTTGTCACTCAGTCTCACCGGCACACGAACAAAATTAGAGCACTCTGTTCATACAGAAAACGATATATTATTCCTACCGTAGAAATATAGCCGTAACGGTTCGCTTTATTACTCGGCTGATTGCCCGTACTAGTTGAATGAACTATAAACGCTTCAGAGTCCGACACCGGGAAAAACAGTTCATGTATTTGTTGCACAGATAATCACGCAAGTCATTGTTATCTTTGAATTGCTAATTAGGTCATTGTGTTGTTAGTCCTGATGCACATACCTACATACATATTTTGTGATTATATTATATTTTATGTTATAGCACAATATAAATCGAGTTTATATTATAAAATATAATCTCTCTTTGAGTGGCCATAAAGTAAACTCTCATAGTCGCGTACATACTGTAATTAAAAACATTAATGAATAGTTAACAAAGTCTAATTTTGTTTAAAAAATTGATGAGATTTTTAAAAAATTGATATCATTTTATATATCATATGCAAGAATTATTGCATAAAATTACAAGGTTAAAATTAAAGTATTATCTTCTTTTTTGCAAGAATTGATAATTTTAAAATAATTAAATAATTAATAAAAATTTTGCGACGACAAATATAAAGACTGACGTTTGGCTCACGATTTAAAATAACTCGCCAGTCGTGGAAATTTTCTACTAAATTTACAGAGCACAACTTTTTTTATTGCTTAAATGCTGCATAAATTGTTTCCTAATTAAAGAACAATTTTTGTACAATATTTATTTTTATCTAAAGGACGTACAGAATAATATTTTTAATCGTAAATCATTAAAGAAGGCAATAAAAATTGAAATTTAGTGTTGAGGTGTAAAATAAACCCCGTGCGAATAATTACGTTAAAAATACCACACGAACGATGTAAGCACAACATAAATAAACTAATTCTAACATTACTTTCTCTAAGATCCCTGTTTGCTTTATATTTCAGGTTTATGCGAAGTGGAAGCAGGACAATCGAATATCATCCTCGATATCGAAGAGAGCAGAGGAAATGGTAAACGCGACGCGTTAATTACATTTTATCGTACATTAAAAATCTTTATTAATTAAATCCATACCTATTCCTTTTCAAAATCCATATACTACTGTGATCAAATTGAAAGGTGACTTTGTTTGTAAAATGAAAAACCTTTATTTATTTTTGAAAATCCATTTTGTCCCCTTCAAAATAATCCCCATCGGCTCCAATGCACTTATGCCAACGAAGTTTCCAGTCCTCGAAGCACTTCGCAAATTCTTCCTTCTTTATGGCCTTCAGCTCCTTCTGCGATTCGGTTTTTATCTTTTCAATCGAGTCAAAACGGTTTCCCCGAAGTGGCCAACGAAGATCGTTCCACAACCGCCGTATTCACCTGAACTAGCACCGTGTGACTTCTGGCTGTTCAACAAACTCAAAAGGCCACTTCGGGGAAACCGTTTTGACTCGATTGAAAAGATAAAAACCGAATCGCAGAAGGAGCTGAAGGCCATAAAGATGGAAGAATTTGCGAAGTGCTTCGAGGACTGGAAACTTCGTTGGCATAAGTGCATTGGAGCCGATGGGGATTATTTTGAAGGGGACGAAATGGATTTTCAAGAATAAATAAAGGTTTTTAATTTTACAAACAAAGTCACCTTTCAATTTGATCACAGTAGTATATACCCTTCGAATATTAAATTTTAGAAAAAAAATTTGATAACTTACAACTAAGAAACAAACGACATTGTGTTATATACATATGGTCTCTGGTCTCTTATTATTTTCTATAGATATTTTGTATGAGTATTTTATCATTTGTTTTACGTAATTATTCAGTAACTCTTTCTATGTCAGCTTATTTCATAACGCAATGGGGCCTGAGCGTATCTTTTTATCGTGGGAAGAGCTTCGTACCGATTTCTACAAGCAGCATCTATTATTCCCTTACTCGAGTCGGTATATTTTTCCACATCGCGAATTGTGCCTCATTTGCCACGAGCTAACTTGATCTCAGGTTCGCATCGCGTCGTACCAAACGCAATCTCAAAGATTTCGCGTTTACATTCGCAAATAGATCGTTCCTCGGGGCACTGGATTAAATTTTGTGCTCGTGTACCGAATATCACAAATCCGGCATCTCATTACGCGGAAATTACGTTTGCCGGATCGATCGAGTTGACCGGCAACTGTCGGCAGCGGAATCAATGCGTCAATTCGCGGTATTCTCAAGCAAATCATCTTGCACGTTCCGAAGATCGACTCGCTTTCTCCACTCTCTGCCGAATGCATAATGCACGGCGACTTTATCCGTGGGTGACTCTATTTTGACGGAGAAACGGCTTCGTGTCCCGAACGAATAAATAATAAAGCTATTCCACCGCGCATAATGCATTAAGTCTTGAAACGATTGTCGCGAAAACAGACTAGAAGAAATAAAGATCGAATTTAATCTTCATCCGTCACTCAGATTCATTATATTTGTATCAGTTAATTTAAACTGTTTCCCAAAGATTAACGCAGTTAGCGTTCCTGTTGCTTTCTATACGTACAAATTTCACGAAAACAAGATGCGAAAACTCTCCGAGTGCGTTAAAAGTAAGATTCGCGAAAAACGAATTTAATTTAATTGGAAAATCTTCGAGACACAAAAAGGCGTCGTGTTAAACTCATTTCAAGAGGCGACGCCTGACAGTACAGTAATAGAAGGTTTAATTAGTTTTCGGTCGGGGCAAAGTAATTACACCGGCAAAGAATGATGACGAAAATTAGAGAAAAGGAATATTCGAGAGGCAGAATAGCCAATGCATCGCAATTAAATTGTATTGGCTTTCATTAATGAGATTTCGCCCGAGATCGACATCAAGCCCGCCAAGATAGCATTCATTATGAAGAGTGAAGACGGGTTGGTCTTCGCTCGCGAGTCGTATTACACAAGTAACAAAACGATTTCTTCGAAATGGCTATTCATATCATCATTATCCTGTTTCATGGTTTGTTCGTAATTTCTTTTCCACCTTTTCGATAAAATTGATTAAAATCTTCAATTTTCTCTGCTGATTTCGTTTCGTTCGTGATTTAAAAATCGTAGCTTTCCATCATAAAACGCATTTTGCATTTGATATCTCAAACAAACGACCGAGAATTTATCGTCGCGCCGGAGTTTGGTGTATTTCCAGTTTATTGAAAATTCCATTTACGCTGTCCCAGATATACACAAGATAAATCGATGCGCACGACGGTAATCGCCTTTGCCGGCTATCCTTTTTCAGCAATCGATCAGAGAACCGTGCCGGAAGAGCTTCCGGTGTCCGGCGATCCCTATAACGAGACTATGCTGGAGCTTATCTTCCCTGGAAGAAAGATTCCCCTTTTCAAACTGAATGGCAAGAAACTGCAGCTTCTCCAGCCGTTGGACAGAGACGACGAGAATCTCTCGCACGTGGTTTTTCAGGTAAGAGAAAAACTTCTATCTCGCAAGGGAGACACTGAAAGAACCCGCCTGATTTATTTCATTTGTCAAAGCTTTTGCTGTAATAGACTGACCGTTGCGGTTTCGTAAGACTTAACAATGGAACAGACATACTTTGAAAAATTGTTACTACGAAAAATTGTAACGGTAGCACTACGTTTCGCTTTACACGGCAAAATTTCTCTTAAAATTTACCCTGAAAATCATGTAATCGTGGCATTTTGAAGAACTTTGTGAGAATTTTTGAAATTTTCATACATTCTATACTAGTAAAATTTCAAGAAACTCTCATAAATTTCTTCGAAATGCCCCGTTGTCCCGCGATTACACCCAGAAAAAAGTTGTTTGAATTTTGACCCCACTAGACTTTTATTTAATTTAAAAAAACGACTTCCTTATCTTGACCAAAATTTTATTGAGATCGAAATATTCGTATCTATTTCTTCTTCTTCTATTCATATTCTTCAAATCTAGCAAATGTTTTAGCACAAGTAAATAAAAGTTTAGTGGATTCCAAGAAATTGATTTCAACGTGTCTCGCGCGTTCTCTCCGCGTACGCATATCTTCTTAGACTGCAACTCTCGAAGATTGAGACCACATGTAGTCCAGATTTAATGTGTGCGCGTGTGCTTTCTCATACTTGCATTTATGCAAAGTAATAATTCATCGGCACGTCGTACGCGTACCAAATGACGTTCCTTGTGAAGTTAATTCTAACATTAATCCATTCTTTCGCGCGCGAGATTGCTTTTGAATCTGCATCTAAGATATTGAAAGGGTTACATCGCGCGAATGCCGAATGAAATCTCGTTCAGATGACGCGACCATCAATCCACGCGCGCATCTTCTTCCTTGTGCGTCCATCCGAGAAAGTTTTCTATGAAATATCATTTAGACTTTCTATCGATAGATATTTTATCGATAGAACCACCGAGGGCCATCGCGAGACAAAGTGCCGTGTTGCAAATCACTGGCGACGAAAATCTCGATAATAAATAACGTGGATGCGCGGGGAGAAACTCGTCACGCGCGGAAACTTCGGACGCCTCCTGGGCTTGATTACCGATTATTATCCTTTGCGACAACTCGTTAGGAGCCTCCGTTTCTCTTCTCGTTTTCGATCGGATCGGAATTTTCACCGTCCCCGATATCGTCGATTAGTTGGGAATATCAGGTAAACGGAATGCTGCCATTATTGCGACTTTCGAACGAACGTACGAAGGACAATATGTAATGACGAAGACGAAAGTAATGCAGAGATATGTGGAAGCACAACTTGCAGAGAAAAATCTTTAACGCCCCTCTCAAGTACAAATATTAGAAGACAAGCGAATAATAGCGTTCGCTACCGAAGTGTCAATATTTCTTGAATTATAGCGTTCACAGCTGCGGTAAAAAATCTATTGTTCGGCCCCTTTCAAGTGAATTTTTCTTTCTTATACCGACCATTAAACGTCTAAACGTCTAATTCACCACGCGAGTGTCTAGCGCTTTTAAGGCGACGCCGTTACTTTTTTCTACGCAAAAACCTTGCTCCGCTTCTCGGAAGAGGATCTCTTGTCCGCCAGTAAAATGTTTTATTATTTTCTTCGCTGTCAACGAGCTGCAAACTCACTGCGACAGCGGAAGTTGGCGGCTTGTCGAGAACACTCGGAGGAAGTTGCAAAATCTACAACGATTTTCTGCATCAGTTGTTAAACGGCACAGTAGTTGATACAGTTCTATTTTTACGAAATTCAAACAAAAGGCGGGTTCACTTCAGGAAGCTAAGTTCACTTTTACGAAACGTTTTCTCTTAAACGATGAACAAATCGCATATAAATGCAGGAATCTATTTTTGCTGATCTTTTCTTTTCAGAAGTAACGAAACAGTCAATCTGTTTTTTTTTAACTGCAGAAATGTCTCTTGTGTATTAAATAAATATTCTTTTTATTAGTTTACGTTACTCCTCGCGCAAACTATATGTAATTAATTTGCTCGCCGATTATCGCGCTCGCGATTTGAAGACGCCATTCTCTACGCCGGCTCGTTCGGCATCCGCGAAACTGTGCATGCACATTGTGCCTTATGACACTATCGTACGAGGAATGTGAAAGGTCTGGAGTACTCCGCATCGAACACTTCAAGACTTCGTGCTGATCAAACGAGCGGATAAGATTTAATAAGACCGAGAAATGCAGACAGATAACTTGGACCGAAACAGAAATGTTGAGTGCACTTCGATTAATTTATAGAAATTCACGCGAATGGTAAAATGGATCGAAATAGATTGATCTGGGAAAGAGAGAGAGAGAGAGAGAGAGAGAGAGAGAGAGAGAGAGGGGGGGGGGAAGTAATTAATTATTACTTGGTTCGATCAAAGGATGCCAGTCGTTCCAGAAATAGTTTCTTACGCTCTACGCTCTCGATTAAATATAGATGTTCAATAAAGATTACTTAACTTCTGACTTGCGAGAGTCTAGCGTAGTATAATCTTATCTCGTCGTAGCGGTCGTTTTTAGTTTATTAATATTCTCTAAATTCTTCCAGCCTTTAATTCGATGAAATCCTTTTTATCAAATTTCTTTTAGTGAAGGCCAAGCGGCATTTATTGTTACAGGGACGTGGTCGAACTGTTGCGTTTACCCTTCAATATGAATGTTCGTTCGTTTTTTCAGTTAAGCTGCACGGTGAAGTTGACTAACAAGAAGCGGACGATTCCGGTGATCGTGAGAGTGTCCGACATCAACGACAACGCGCCGAAGTTCACCGACACGCCGTACGAGACCACTGTGCCGGAGGTGAGAATTTGAATTAAAAGAAAAAGAAAACGACGAGCCGCACGCAGAAATTGAGGCGTAATCTTGTCCTGTTCGTCGTCACGGACGTTTAATACCATAAATTCACAAAATTAACAAACACTCGATCGCATTCGGACCAGTGACGCCAGAAATCAGACGCGGCCCCGTCGGACGGGTTGACACACTCTCAGAAAGGATTTCTGTTGCTCAGACAAAAAGTATTCTTGACGCATTTATATTTCTCGCAACCTCATTTAGTATAAAAATAAGACAATATCGAAGTAAAATCAATAATTCTTATTCTCCTCTATCGAATGAAAAAAAGATTGACTTACAGTATTGAGACAAGAGTAACTTATATAAACGTAAGTTTATATTCTTGCGTTTAGAATAAATTTTCCCTCCATCTTACAACGCACGAAGTTGATACGATATTCGACAAAAGGCGATGCATACTATCATTTTATTCTAGATTTTAGAATTTTTCATTTAAGATTAAAGGTATTCCTTTCTCTGTAAATACGATTGGCGCTATATCAATCCTATTTTATGACACATTGAAGTGTAACGGCATTGGATCCGGAAATTTTTTCAGTGGGTGCAGCGTCGCGCTGCTCGCACGCAGACGTCGGGCTCTCTTCTTCGCGCGAGTATCCCATCCATTTCGCGTCCGACCAGGCCGCGTCTTATTTCTGGCATTACTGATTCGAACCATCTTTGGTGTAATTGTAAAACCGTCTAGAATGGTTAAATTGGCGTAAATTGTAATTCAAATAAACCTTCGTCCCGCGAGGGATCTTTACTTCCATGCTCGTAATGGAATATACACTGTGCGACCGTGAAGTACCGCTCGGTCATCTCCCGAGTCGCGTGATTAGCTTCAACAGCGATAGCTCTTCTGTCGACAGAGCGTACCTCGCGCCTGTAATGAAACGGACGGTGCTGCGAGATTGGGGCGGCCGAGGAATGCATTCTGCACCGAGGAAATAATAGAACACCGAGCGTGAAAATGCGGGCATAACGCGGTAATTCACGGTACGCGCCGCGCCGGAGTAAATTTATACATATAATGAGTCGCGCTATACGTTGTACGGTATGCACGCGCAGCTGGAAATTTATACTTGTAATGGGATGCGTGTTGTATAATTATGCGTCTAAATATGATGGACGGATAAGAGGCTGCGGTTAACGCCGTGCGAAAGTTCGATAATTATATTCCGGCGAGATGAGCGTTAATTGAGTAGAACTGTGCAGGGGGATGGGAGGGGGGGGGGAGGGAAAAAAGCGTCTCGCTATTGGAACACTATAGAATTGCGTCGAGAAATAATAAGCGCTCGCGATGACAACTTATAGAATCGCGCGCGTCGTTTCCTCCGACGCGTCGCGAATGCGGTCGTCGATTCCTCCGCGACTTTCGTCGAGCCGGACGTTTTCCGCGTGACGCGACGGGATTTTTACGGAAATGAAAAGTGTGTCGGATGCGAGTCGTCGACGCGAGCGCGCGGGGACGCTCCATTATGCCGCTCTATCGTCGCGTCAGCGCGCGTCCTCGAAGAAAGTAGATTCGTCACGTCGCTAAGTGGACGAGAACTATTCGCAACGCGGCGCGACGGGAACGTCGGCCATCGCCGATAGTCGAACGCAGCCGCGACGATCTTTTCCCTCTTTCGCATCCGTAACCCGTTATACCGATTGTGAGAGTGACGTGCGCGTTGGTACCGAGCGTTTCGCACGTCGAACAGATCTGAAAGGATAAATTGAATGCGAGAGAAATGAATCGTGCCAAGTATTTCGAAAATTCAATCTTCATGTAGTCCTTTGGTTCCCCCCCCGTCCCGACCTTCTTTGCATTTGGTTAAATAAAATATCGACCGGTCTCTTTCGCACGGTCGTATCTCGATTTTACACAGTTTCCGTTTAAACGCTCATTCCGGTCCTACATTGTGTAAAATCAAGATACGACCTTGCGAAAAAGGTCAGTCGTTATGTCACACGCATGCTATATTAATATCTTAACGCGAAATAAACGGAAACCTCAGAGTAATTTGAAATAAATTATGCGCAAAAGTAACGTAATTTTTACGGTAAAATTAACTAAAGAAAGTTGCTTTTACGTTTTACACTGCAAAACATGTCCACTCTAAATTCCGCGAAATTATAACGGAAAGAAGTGACTTTTTTCCACTTTAAGTAAACGTGAAATTAAAGCGGAATTGCGTATACAGGACATTGTCCTAATAATAATGTCCTGTATAAATAGAACCCAGTGAGAAATGATTCGTCGATCGACGTCGAAACGACGTCGAATCGACATCGACACTGTCGAATTGACGTCGATTCGACATCATTTCGACGTCGATCGACGAATCATTTCTCATTGGGAAGGGAAATGTGTAATTGTAAAGGCGAATGATGCTCGCAAAAGAAACACATGTATGTGTCATCCGCGGGAGGTAACTCGAATTCATCGCAGTCACATGCGGTACATTTACCGCGATAGTTACCGCGTCGATCCACTCCCATATTGCTCCGCAACAATTAGCGACAAAAATATTAAGCTTAATATTAAACTGTGTAATCGAGATGAAAACCGCCGAGTAACTTAAGCGACTGAGATACTCTAACAGATTGATTGACAAAATAAAATCAGTTGCTATGGTAACTCTTGTCCGCTTTAAATATATATGACCAAATCCTTTACAATATCCGTTATAATGTCTGTCTTAACAGTATAACCATTACGGTCCTACTTATATAAAGGATTTTATATAATCAATAAAGTGTCATATTAAGAATTCCACCAGTGCCTAAATCAAACGGACATATGAGAAATCCGTTTTAATATTGAATATCCGTTATAAAATATAACGGAAATATAATTGTCCTTTATATCTAAAACGGATATGTTTTGCAGTGTACAGATATGATAATTCAAATTTTTGTATTGTAGAACGAATCCACTTTTTTCCTAGAAATTTTAGCAAATAAACTAACTCCTGTCACTAACAATACGGAATGTACCTGTTGTGTAAAATTAAAAACAGATGTACATTGTATTATTTCTACACTTTCTTCAGTTGTTTTAACGATTTAACACTTGAGCTTAACCAGCACAACAGCAACTGAGCTGTTCTTTTATAGCTAAACTGGCTACAATAGTTCAGACTTTTTCTTCTTTGTAATTATGTACTAAAAGTTTCTTTCTTTGTATTGCTGTTTGTGCCTTTGAAATTTGTTTCCAGACTATACTTGAAGAGGACCCGATAAAGAGGTCGAAACGTTCACTTTTATGCCAGTTTGGTCCATTTTTTAAAGAACTTCCTCGTGTTCAGATTTTATCTTTCTTCTTCCACATGAAAAGAGAAAGACAAACTCTGAACTAGCGCAGTCAGTCCAGTTATAAAGGACAAACCTCAACCGTTAGATTAACATACGTTAAATGTTTAACACGAAGATTTTAACGAGAAAACACAAATTTTTCAGCGGCACGTATAGAATTCAGATTGCACCGAGACGATTCCGCAAAGATAACTTTGACTGGCTCCAGATTGTCGTCTAATTAACGGAGCCTTTGTATCAGTTCTTATCGTGGAAACTGGCGAAATATACGCTCGGCGAGAGAGCAACCTTTGCCCCACCCGCCGTGCATAATTGCGGAATCGCGGGAGTTCCTCGCGAGGAAGATCCCGAGATCGAGATCGCCGGCTCGCGCTTGAGCTAATTAATCCACGGTGAGAGAGCACGCGGCAACCGGCGCACTGTCGCGAGAACACGCGAGAACAAGCGGTGATAATCGCCCACGGGATAGCGAAATGATTGCGAGTGTCGGAAACGGTCCACCTCCGCTTTTTCACCTCCCCTCGTCTGGCGCCGTCGAAAAGCTCGTGGAAATTAGCCGCGTTGCTAAGTAAACGAGGGCCGACGACTTCCTCGCCATCGTAGCCGTGGCTAACGACCGGGATTATTATGCTTGAACTGCTTCCGTGGGAACGTCATTACGGGTTGGCTCATTTTTGTATTCTGGGGACACGCTAATGAATTCTCCACTCTATTTCTCGAGCGCCATATGAATATATGCCGCTCGCTGTCGTTGTTTCTATGTCACACTCGCCGCGGTTGAAGTTAAAGGTGCTGGATCGTTTTCTAAAATCGCGTAATGGAGAGAAACTCGGTTTTATCGTTACGTTTATTACGTAATGTACGGAGCTCCATTTTATGGATAACCGTTTCACGTCGCGGCGGTTTCTACCCTAAAACCTACACGGAGAGAATTCTCCCTTAAATATCAAAGCGAAGTAAAATTAGATTTGCGATTTATATAATTTTATTTCGTCTTAAATCGTTTCCTTTCTACAAACGATTCGAAGAAAATAGAATTTTGAGCAAAGTATTCATAAAAGATTCGAATATGTTTGATCCAGGTTCGAGGTTATTTGGAAGTTCGATATTACTTTTGTTTTTTCGTAGTACAGGAAACTTATGGAAGATTCGAGTGCACTTGAAAGTACTGCTTCGATTTTCCGAATTAATCATAGAGAGCTCAAACATACGCCGACAAATTTGAACCTAGTAAGATACCGCCTTTAAAATTTATCTTGAAAATCATGTAATCGTGGAACAACATACACTAAATTCTCTAAATTCTCTCCGTGATAGGGTAAAGGCAGGCATTATAGCCAGGCGGGTAATACGGCCACAACGCCCGTATTAAATATTCTAAACATTGATAAACATCAATAATGTATAAAAACCAATTATTGTAGCTATTCTTGAAGTTTGGTAACAAAAATCTCTCTATTTTGTTGTTATTTGTGGTTTGGTGCTTCATTGTTCTCCATAACCATCAAAATATACACGTCAAAGTGAGACATGGCACTTCCAACTAACAAGGGGAGGGCCAACTCTCCGATTTTAATGAGCTTGATATATGTTGCAATACTACACCTCCCTTAATAATATTATAGGTAAAACCATTCGACCATACGCTCAAGCATTCGCGAGATATTTTGTGAGCGACTCGGTACATACGCATGTGGACAATTTTAAATAAATTTTTCTCGCGAATGCTTGAGCGTATGGTCGAATGGTTTTACCTATTATTAAGGGAGGTGTAGTATTGCAACATATATCAAGCTCATTAAAATCGGAGAGAACATATGTTGGCCCTCCCCTTG